GTGCGTGCGATTGCAATCTCTACATACAAAATTCTATCGACAAGTTACATATTGATCGTAAATCGTTCGAATATATGTTTGGGTAATAATACTGTTCTGATATTGACTCATAAGGAGAGGATGAAGGAGTTGGTCGGTTTGGTATGTAGAAGAACAATGAGGAAGAAGATGAAGTGGAAGATTGGTTTTGTCCATTTTCTTTTCCCAAATGAAGAAGACGGATTGGAATCTTAAAATATAATTTTAGGTTGTGATGAAATTGTTTTAAATTTGTAGGATTGTTATGTAATTTACAAAAGTATGTGGGGGCTTGAGAATAAATAAAATAGGTACAAGGGGTACGAAGGGTATAATAGGTTTTACAAGTACGAGGGGTACGAGAGAGAGTACAAGACTACCAAAATTCTTGTTTGCCTTGTACCCTTCAATCCATCGTTCATTGTCATATCTTAGTCAATCCAACGGTGAAATGGGGGGTTACCTGATGTTAGATAGGTACAACCATGACCTGACTGTAGAAAATCCCAACATAGTAACATAATATAACATAATATACTATATATTATAATATAATATAATAACATACTATATGCTATATATTATAACATATTATATACTATATACTATATCTTACTATATACTATAATATACTATATACTATAATAAACTACAAGACTACATTGTATAATATATTATAATATATATTTATATACTATATATTAAAAAAATATATACTATAAAAATATCAATATTTAAGTATAAGAATAAAATTTGTACAAAAATAAAAGCGATAGCCTAGCGCGGCCTAATGGTAGGAGGTGTGCCCGGAGAAGACGGACTCACCCACATGTATATTTTTTTTATAAAAAAACGAATTCTCAGAATCCATTTTTCAATTAATTGAATTGAAAAACGGATTCTCAATCCATTTTTCAATTAATTGAATTGTAAAACGGATTCCCAGAATCCGTTTTACAAACAATTCAAAGTAAAACGGATTCTCTGTAAAGGTAAATAAAAAAAATTTTATTCTTCTTCTTCCTTTACGTGAACAGAAATAGAGCAAGAGAAAGAGAGCGAGAGAGAGTGCGAGAGCGAGAGAGCACACAAGAAATCCTTCGAAAAAAAAAACCACCGTTGCACTGCCACCGCGCATCCTTCCTGTCTATAAGATACATTTCTTCCATTAGGTCTTTTTTTTTAAAAAAAAAAAATTGTCAATAATTTTGAATTAGGACTTAGGGTTTTTTCAATTTTTGATATGTTGTTTGAATTATATATAATGTGTTGTGATTGAGATACTTTGATGGCTTGTTTAATTATGTTTGTTTCATATATTGATGGGTTATTTGGAAATTGATTAGAGTTTTGTAGTTTGTTTGGAAAACTATGTTTTGAAGGTGTTCGATAAAATGCCTCAAAGGGATTGTTGTACATATTGTTGACATATTGTTGTACATATGGTAGGGTTTCAAAATATTCGATATTATAAGTCGATTTTTGAATCATTGAGCTTGTTTGAATGTGTTGAGGCTTTAAATAATTTGAGTTTAATTGTTTGTGTTCTTTGATTCTCGAATTTGGACGTGTATAGATTTAATGAACTAGAGAATGAAAGCATGTTATTTGATATTAGTTGGATTTGTGTTCGTTTAGTTGGATTTGTGAATGAAAAGATTTTTGAACGGTTCGTTTCGGTTATGTTAGCCCTGATAAATGCATGATATGTTGCAATTTTTTATCTCGTTTGATGTGGTTTATTTGATTTTTTGATGTTCCATCTATTTATTTTATTTTGTTAGAAATTATGCTTTCTTATATCTAATGATTTTTATTTTTATTTTTTATTTTTGTAGAAAATGGCATCCTCGTCGTCATCCCAACCGCAGCGCTACAGCGTACATCCTGGTCCGATGGATCGGTCCCTTCTATACCTTCAGGACAACCACTGGGCGAGAGCGGTATACGACGATGTGGAGGGATATCGTCACGGCGTCATTAAAACCCGCCGTTTCGACAGTCAGTTTTGGAAGGCGTTGGAGGTGCAGTATTACAAAGTCTTGGAGGTGATCGATAGGACAGGTTTCGGGCCCCTTTACAGAATGGGCAGAGTACCGACGGAAATCAGTATGATTACATGTCTAGTGGAGAGGTTGCGTCCGGAGACGAACACCTTCCACTTTGACTTCGGGGAGGCGACAAGAACACTGCAGGACGTACAAGTCCTTTTTGTTCTCCCCATTGATGGAACGCCTTGTTGGGGACAGACATATGACCACACACCCCAACAATGGCAAGATTCGTGTATCGATTATCTAGGGTTCGAGCCCACAGTCCAGGTAATTTTTTTCCTACATTTTTTTTATGTTTATTCCATTCATTAATTTTGAATATATTATATAAAACACTCTCAGGATGACGACGACCCGGAGGACAACCCCGACATTCCAGAAATTACAGCCCAGTATTTGAAGACCTCGGCAATTGAAAAGGAGTGCTATAGAGCGCTAACAAATGAAGAGCCTCCTTTTCACTACCAACAGAGGGCGAGGGCCCTTATACTCTGGTGTATAGGTTCATTCTTCTTCCCCGACCAGAGGGCGAATGGCGTCAACCTGTATTGGTTGCAGCAGTTGATCGAGATCGATGAGATCAAGCAGTACAGCTGGGGTTCAGCTCTCCTGGTCGGGGTCTATAGAGCGCTCGCCACGAGCGCCAGAGCCGGGGAAGCCTGGATCAAGAACTGTGTTCAATTGATTCAGGTAAATAAATTTACTTACTTGTTATTACTCCATTCATTTTTTTATTATACTTTAGCCTAATATATATTAACCAAATATTTATGTCGATATCTGTAGGTTTGGGCATGGGAACGTATCCCTCGTATTAGCCCAAGAATGAAGGATACCAACTTTGACAGAGTCCATGGTTGTCCCTTAGGAGGAAGGTAATCACATTTATTTATATTTAATAATTAGAATATTTCAATTATAAAATTTTGTGATTACAATTTTTTTTTTAATTATGTGATTTTTAAGGTGGGTGGGACGGAGGAATATGAAACACATAGGAAAGGGAACAACAACTATTCGAGATCAATTAACAGGGCTAAGAGAGAATGATGTAAGATTATTATTGAGTAATATTGATTATTATTTATATTTGTTTTTTGTTTTTAATTTTTTTATAACTTAATTTCTAGTTATAATTATTATTTTTACAGTTCAATTGGGTGCAATATAAGTGCCACCTGGACGAGGGTACTCTCTCGGCCCCATGCATAGAAGGTTCACACATCTGGATGTATAGAGAGTGGATCCTCTGTTGGGACAATCGTGAACAACACCTGACTAATAGGGTCATCCGTCAGTTCGGGTGTCGACAAGACATCCCCGACCGTCCGATAATTACGGTTTTGGCCGAATACCAGACACACCACCGAAACCAAGGAATGACTGGGAGGGCATTCTATGATTGGGTGGAATATCATGGAGCACTTGGGAATGTTTGGGTCCAACAAAGAGCCCAACATGTCCTCCCATATTACCCTGTGGAGTCGTTCCTTGAGCTTGAGTCGGGTTACCTTGATTGGTTTCACTATAGGACTGTGGACTAATCAGTAATCCTGGCAACAACCCGGTGGTCCAACAGGAAGGAGGTTTTCATCCACTGTCCGAGCAGGGGATGTGCAGTGTAAGTGTTCATAAATTGTGTTTCTTTTTTATTATTAATTTTTTTTGTGTGTTTAATAGTAATAATTTTCAATTTAATTTTTAGGCCAATGCCATGGAGGGAGTTTATAACTTGTTATCGACTCTTGACTTTAATAAACTCACTCCAGAGCAGTAGTCCATAATCGCACAGTCCTAAAACTGGCTCTACAGTGGCCTGACTGTCGGAGGACAAGGGGTCACGCAAGGGACGTCGTCGAGTCAAGTTCTGTCTCAAGAGAGCTACGTCCGACCCCAAACGACGCAGTCGCACCGGGCGAGGCATCGACCTGCTGTCAATATTGGTGGCCGTAGACACCGTGTCCGCGAACTTGATGCCAACACCATGCCTGCCAACACCGTGCTTCCCAACACCGTGCCTGAGGAACAAGAAGAAGAAGGTCAAATTTTTTTACTTAACTTCAATATGATTTTTAAATTATTTATTTATTTATTGTCAAGTAGAATTTCTGATTTTCTTAAAATATCAATTATTCAGATGAAGAAGAAGAAGCTGCCACGCCCACAGCCTTGTCTTCTTTATAGACGTACCAGCGTCGGATGGGATCCTGACAGCGCAAACCTCCAGATCAATTCACTCCTAGCAACTGTTAGGGAAATTTATGGACATTTTTGTTTTTTTTCTTCAATTTTGTGTAATTAAATTCATACATATTGGTATTTTGAATAAATTATTGTGGTTCATTTTACATTTTAGATGAATTTTGGTTGTTGAATATTTGGTTGTAGAATCGATTTCGACAAACAGGTGTGTTTTCTTTTATTTTTCGTGTTAAGTTGCTGTTTCTGCACAGTAAAACGTATTTTTAAAATACGTTTTAATTTTTATTTTAAACAAACCGTATTTTGAGAATACATTTTTAAAGAATTGTATTTTCAAAATACATTTTTATTTTTCAAAATACGTTTTTTTTTTTCAAAATACTAACTAAAACGTATTTTCAAAATACGTTTTTTTTTTTAAAAAATCAGTAAATAATAAATTTATAATTTTTTTATATATATTTATAATATTAAAAATTTATTTAATACGTAAAACGTATTTTGAAAATACGTTTTAGTTAGTAAAACGTATTTTAAAAATATGTTTTATAAACGTATTTTTAAAATACGTTTTAATTTGATTTAATTTACTTAATCATGTTTTATATTAATTTAATTAACTTGATTATGTTTATAATTTTAATTCATTATAAAACGTATTCTCGGAATACGTTTTACTTTGAAAACATATTCTGAGAATACGTTTTACAAAGTAAAAGGTATTCCGAAAATACGCCTGTTTTATTTTCGTCCAGTTAATTTCTTTTTAGTTAGTAAAACGTATTTTGAAAATACGTTTTAGTTAGTAAAACGTATTTTAAAAATATGTTTTATAAACGTATTTTTAAAATACGTTTTAATTTGATTTAATTTACTTAATCATGTTTTATATTAATTTAATTAACTTGATTATGTTTATAATTTTAATTCATTATAAAACGTATTCTCGGAATACGTTTTACTTTGAAAACATATTCTGAGAATACGTTTTACAAAGTAAAAGGTATTCCGAAAATACGCCTGTTTTATTTTCGTCCAGTTAATACGCCTTTTTTTGTCCAGTTAATTTTTTTTGTTTAAATAAAAAAATCCCACACATACACAATATTATTTAAAAAAAAGATTGGTAGTCAATAAAAAATATATAAAATATATTATTTTTTATATACAAAAATATCATTTTTTATACATCTTCTTTTTACATGTATAATATACTTTATTCAACCAAAAATAATAAAAAAATATTATATAAATACATTAAAAATAATCATGTTTTTATAATATAAATAACAAATTATTTCAGTTATTTAAATAATAAATTCAAATTAGGGAATTATGATTTCATTGACATTTTTTGTAAAGTAGTGCATTTATCAACACAATGCACTTTATAAAACATCAAGTTGCACATTATAAAACAACGCGTTGCACTTTATCACCACACTCCACAATTATCGTCAAAATCTCCAACCAAAATACCATACAACATAAATCTAAAAAAAACGGATATATAATATTTTAACATCAATCACTTTATTTGTCCACACAAATTACAAGTATACTAACGTACAAAAATTATAGTGTTTCACTTTATATATCAACATATTGAACTTTATAAAATAATTCGTTGCACTTTACAAAATAACAAGCTGAACTTTATCACGAATATCAAATTACACAAACGAAATCGACCGAGTACAAATTTTTTTCAACCTATAATAATATAAAAATAATAAATAAATTTATTTACTTATTAAATATAATTTTAATATAAATAACTTCATTTGTGACAAACATCATGTTTGCACCGATCGGATAATATAAATAAAATAATAATAATAATAATAATAATAATAATAATAATAATAATAATAATTATAATTATTATAATTATTATTGTTATTATTATTATTATTATTATTATTATTATTATTATTATTATTATTATTATTATTATTATTATGTCTGGCAGTGCACATTAGTGTTACACGAAACTTACATTAATGAGTATTAGATTACACACTAACAAAGGATACCTGCCGAAATAAGTTTTTCAATTTGAATCGGTTAGCCAACCGAATGAATCAAGTAAGTCGGCTAAATTTTTTTTCGGATTTGGATAATAGTTCAGTCGGTTCAAAATTTTCAAATGTTCGACTTGATTATTTCGGTTTTAACGTTATGGTCAGCTAATTCAGTCAAACCAGCCGATAAACAATATTGCGCATTATGTAGCGTATTGATAAATTTTGTAAATTTTTAATTTTTTATATTGTGCAATCTATTTATAGTTTTTTTTTTTAACGGATAATAATATATTAATAACTCAAATAAAGTTTTTACAAGAGAGCGTACCAGAAGGTACATGCCTTGGCTTTGAGACTTGGCCAAGTTACACTGATCTAAAGATCACAAAAGATACAAATACAGACCAAATTTACATCAAAATAAACAACAAAATATACAAAGGGGAGATAAAATACAAGAATAGAGAAGGACTTCAACCACTAAGCTGGCAGCCCCTAGCTGAACGAACTCTCCAAATAATAAGGAAGTTGATGCACAAGAAGGCTCACCACTGAATGACAATTCCTAGCAGCCTTCCTCCACCTCAACTCCCCCAAAAAACAACAACAGCCAGACTGAGAACAAGAGCTAAAGGAGGAGAGGATAAGCAGATCATTGGACTGGGGAGATGGCGATTTCTTCAAATTCTCTCCACTCAAGCCAAGCCCTCTTAGCTAGTTCTGCTTATGTGATCCAAGTTTTATTAAAGAGCCAATTATTGCGTGTTTTCCATAGCCACCAAAGGATGTATGTTGAAAAATGAACTCTATCTTGAAAGCATTGCATCCTTTGGCTTTGACATATCCTTGACCACCAAGATTGAAAAGAATCAGTAAAAGCTTGCATTCTATTCCAATCAAGTCCTGCTAGTTTCCAAACTTTTATAGCCCGAGGACAATGAAAAAAAATATGTTCTAGTGTTTCTTCAGATTCCCCACATATACAGCAGATTGGATCAACCATGATATCTTTTTTCCTCAGTTGATCTTGTGTGCTAAGAAAATGGAACCAACTCCTTCAGATGAAATTTTTTATCTTGTGTTTTATTTTGAGCGACCATGTGAACTTCCAGATTTTTTTCTCAGTGAATGAACTTGTGCTTGATTCAGGTTGTTGACTAGAACATTTTTTAGCTTTTAGAATAGAGGAATAGGCAGATTTAACTGAAAACTTGCCCTTCTTGTCAGGTAGCCATTTCCACCAATCTGAATGATCAAAATTGCTCAATGGGATAAGAAGAATTTGTCTGGCTTCCTCAGGGCAAAATGTTTGTTCAATGAGAGTAGTGTCCCAGGAGACTTCAGAGGTTGTAAATAGATCACTGACCTTGTGAAGCCTGGCTGAGTCAAAAGAAAATGATTTTGAGGGAGTGAAGTTTGCCAGTCCTGGTACCCAAGGATCAGACCATATACATGAGTCTCTGCCATTGCCCACAACTTTGATAGCCCAGTTCTTCAGAATGTGTCTAATCTTGAGCCAAAAACTCCACATCTAGGAATCTGATGGCTTAGGCTGAGCTTCCCAAAGAGTGGTAGAGGGGAAATATTTGCCTTTAAGAATTCTGCTCATGAATGATTGAGGCTGAGAAATGAGTCTCCACAATTGTTTAGCCAGCATGGCCTCAGTACAGGATGTGAGGCATTTGAAACCCAGTCCACCGCATTCTTTGGGAAGAGTTAACTTCTGCCATGAAGCCCAATGGATCTTATTTCTGTCGTTGTCTCGGGAACCCCACCAAAATGAAGCACATAACCTGCAAATATCTTTGCAAACTGCAAGGGGAAGCTTGAAACAGGACATCACAAAAGTAGACAGGGCACCAATGACTGAGTTAAGTAAAAAGGCTTTTCCAGCTTCACTAAGAAATATATTTTTCCATGAGGATAATCTTTGGTTGACTTTATTAGTAACAAAACTAAAAATATCCTTTTTGGATCTACCCAAGCCCAAAGGTAGACCAAGGTATTTAGTGGAGTGGACTATGGAAATGCCATTCAAAATGGAAACAGTATTAGACTTAATATGTTGAGGGGTATTCTTAGAGAAAAATATGGAAGATTTATGCATATTAACATGCTGGCTTGAATCCAGCCCATATAGTCTAAGTATAGTAGAAATCAAAAGGGCATGGGAAGTATCTGCTTTACAAAAGAAAATAGAGTCATCGACAAAAAACAGATGAATGACTGGGGGAGAAGCTTTACTGATTTTAATACCCTGGAATGAGTACAAAATAGAGGCCTGTTTAATAAGATTAGAAAGAGCTTCTGATATAATAATAAAAAGATAAGGAGACAGAGGGTCTCCTTGTCTAAGGCCTCTAGAAGGTTTCAACATACCTAGAGGCTGACCCAAAATATTAAAAGAAAAAGAAGAGGTGCAGATACAAGAGAGGATCCAAGAAACAAATTGAGAACAAAAGTCCATCTTTTTACAAATGGCAGCAAGGAATTTCCATTCTTTTTACAATCTATTTATAGTTGATGTGCAATATATCGTTCAATAACGTGCAGTTTGAACATAAATATGAAATTATTATTTTTTTTTATAAAATTACATATTTAATCCCAATCATATTATAATATATTAAAAAAAATCTAAAAATTGCAAATGAGTCCTTATTGGATGTCAAATTTTCAAGTACAGATCCAAAACTAAATCTCACCATTTGCCTGTATAAAACACCTATTTTCAGCCCCAACATCTGGCAACCGTCCTGGTGAACGGACCTCCGGCGATTAATACCGCCTAATAGTCGTCGGCATATGCAAACATCACCAAGAAGGCTGCGAGGGAAGATGAATCTCTGGTAGCAGCGAGCTCTGGATCGTGGAGAAAGACACAAATTGACTGTCGAATCGAAGACCCTCCACGTCGGAAGAGAGATTGCTGGAGAGAATCGCCAGAAAATTGGTCGGTTAGGCCGTCGTCGGTCTATGGCCGCAGAATTTGTGTTGGTCGGTAGGAGCCGAATTTGGCTGCCTGCAATCAGCGTCCGCTGGCCGTCGACACCACCCAGCTGAAGGCGGGATGATGCAGGCAGAATGAAGGTGGTGGCCGGTGAAATTTCTGGCGGAAGAAGGTGGTTGCCGGAGGTTCAGAATGTATGAAGGCGTGTGTCCTGTGCGTGCGTGGTGAGAGAGAGAGAGATAGAGAGATAGAGAGAGAGAGAGAGAGAGAGGTGATTTTTTTTTATCGGTAGAGAGATATGAATATTATTGTGATTGTGGGCCCAAGTGGATAGTGAATGTATGTACAATGACCAGAATATCCTTATTAAGTCAGTAAATTTATATATTTAATTACAATATGACACTTATTTACAATATTGCCATTGACTGTTTTACCATTATTTAATAAAATTAACTTTATCATAGCCATTGGTATGTTAGATCCAATGACACAGATTTATTCTTATTTCTTTCACTATCTACCATTCTCATATGATCCCAACTCTCTCTCTCTCTCTCTCTCTCTCTCTCTCTCTCTCTCTCTCTCTCTTTATATATATATATATATATATATATATATATATATATATATATATTGGTAACACAAAACTTCTCGACCGGCTGGAACTTTAATAATCACCTTCCTTCTCGCCGTTTGAACGTCGTGCACCTACAAAGAACTCTCACACCGGAAGGGTTTTCCAGTGAAGAGCCTCCGAAGCTTAAGTCAGTGTATATTCAATCAATTCTCTAGAGTAAGTAATAGAATGATCGTGTTGAAGAAGAGAGGCCCACACCCTTTATATAGGGGTGAAATACCTGACCTAGGGCTGCCCAGATTTGATGAGCTGTCTACCCTAACTGCCCGTCCGTACACACCGTACGCGTGTGTCAGAGGTAGCCGTCGCCACTATCGCCTGCACCAATACCCTTTGGACGCGTGTCCTCCTGCACATGGGGTAGGCTGTCAGAGGTGGTTATTGCTATCAACCCCTGCTTTCTCGAGACGTGTCCCCCTGCACATGGGGTAAATATTCTCCTGAAGTTCAGTTAGAGGCTCTCTCACGCGCCTGTGACTAGGCCGATCAGCATGGTGTTAAGTCCTCGAAGTGGTCGACCTATCGAGGCCGACTGAACTGCTCGATCGTTCATCTGGTCGAAGGATATTTTGCTCGACAGCTTTGCTTGGTCGACTGGTTAACTGCTCGATTTCCTTGACTTCCTCATAATACGACTTCCTCGACCGGTCAATAGACCGGTTTAGCCTTGTGGGTATAATATCCTATATCATCTAGTCCCCCCCACTCTGGCCGAGTCTGAATGACTCGATCTAAGAGTGAATTTGTACCTATCGACCTCCTGGATAGCATAGTGTCCGATATCGACCATCTGATGGATTTCCTGCTTATTTTTCAAATAATACGTCATTAATTGCAAGAGATAGGGTCACATGTCACATGTCCTTTATGCCACGCCTACTTTTCTGCTACGCGTCGCGTCTACCGCATCTGTCAGTCACTTTAATGATAGCGCCTTCTCGTATAACGTGCCCACTTTGAGTGTTGTGTTAATTAATGCCCCTCACCGTTAGATCTGGTTTTAATCCAATGGTCTTACTCTTCCAACCCTTTAACTCTTCAAGTATAAATTCGGTACTTAGCGAATTTTCTCAGTTTTTCCACCTTTGCAATTTCGAACTCTCCTGTGCTCAAACACCCCTTTTGCAAGAACCCTAATCTTTTTCGGCGATTTCTCCTGCGATCTTCAAGTTCTTTTACATCTCTCACCTGCGATCATGAGTAAGTTGCTCCTCATTTGATTTTATGCTTCCTGTGTCTAGGATTTTCCGCTTTCAATTTCTTGAATTGGGTGCTTGAAGTGTGCTGATTGAGTATTTTGAATTTGTCTGTTGGGTGTCGGTGCTCGCTTGTCAATCACCTGTGAATTTCGCCCTTCCCCTTCAAAAATTTTCTGAAATCTCTGCTCTTATTTTCTAATTTCTCGAAATTATCCCCCTTCGTAAAGCACTAATTTTTCAAAGCTTCACCTTCCTCAAAAGTTTTTGATTTCGTTTTTGTTTTTCTATTTTTTCAGATCCTGCACCTCCATCTCCTTTTTTGACCACTTCCTCTGATTCAGTTCAGATTTTGCCCCCTGCACTCGAGGCCGTTCCACTTTTGATTCTTCGTCCCGGCGAGACTGTCCCTACCATCATTTTTACTGCTCGTGTCGCTTCTTCTAACTCAGGGGATACTATGGATAATATCCCCCTCCGCCGTCGTCGACCTGCCCTTGGCGAGTTAGACGATCCAGAGGTGGACGAGGTTATTTCTCCTCAACCCACTTCTGTTCCCTCCTCAACCATTCCTCCTTCTTCTCAGCCTGGTGCTTCAAACTCTCCCTCTGACAAAGCCTCGACCAAAAATCCCCGCAGAACTTCCATTAAGCGCCCTTCTCTTTCCCATGTTTGGTATTCTCCTGAGAAGATCGGCCACCCCAGCGGTTGGTTGTTTCTCAGCTCTTCTTCCACTGACAAGTATGATCGTCCACCCAAAGATTGCTATACTTTCTTCGAAATCCAATTTAAACTTGGACTCCGTTTTCCCCTAAATCTCGAGCTACTTTGCATTTGCGAGTGGTTCTCGCTTCCTTTGCATCAACTTCCCCCCAACGCCATCCGCTTCATGACCACTTTTATCATCCTTTGTCGCGTCCGCCTAGGCCAATTCGACCTGGCCTTCTTTCATTACTGCTATGTCCCTTCCGAACAGGGTCGAGGTCTTTACCTTAAGAGTCGCAACGATGCCCATTTCATCAACGACATTCCTTCCAACCTCCCTAAGTGGAGTGACAAATTCATCTTTGTCCAGCCTACTGCCCCCTTCCCTTGGCCCTCCATCCCTTGGGTCAAGGAGGTTTCCCAAGAAGCGGCCTCGGCTCCTCCTCCGAGCGCCCTTTTCGACCAACGAATCCACACTTGGAATTCCAAGTCCGTTGCGTCCGAAACAATTATCAGGGACGAGAATCTTCTCCATTATTGTGGTCTTCTCACCCACAAGACCTGTCCTCCCCCAAGTGATGAGATCCTTGATCTTATCCGGATCGAGAATGACCCAGGTAATCTTCGACCAGATTACTCAGATATTCTGGCACTCCTCTGTGTTTGTCTTAATTATCCCTTGTCGATGGTGGTTCTAATCTTTTATTATTGTATTGCAGAGGTGCCTAGTTTCAACATTCCCCCAAGGAAGACCACTCTAAAGAAGAAGTCAGGGGCTACCTCTGGCTCAATTGGCTACAAGGCCGAGGGATCGGCCACCTCGAGCGGGTCTTGACCGGAACCGCAGCAGCGATCACCTCCGCGACAGATTCCCTTACCTCCACCACCACCGTCGAAGGAACAACAACAGCAGCAGCCTCAACAGCGACAACAACAGCAGCAGCCTCAACAACGACAACAACAGCAACAACAGCAATCAGCGTGCCAAACTCCTCCACCTCCTCCTGATAAAACTCCTCAGCCTTCTTCTACTTCGGCCGCCGTCGCCAAGTCCTCGACCACCTCCAAAACTGATGGTCGCCACCAAAAGACCTCCGATCACCACCACAAATCCGACGACCGCCATAAAAACATGACGACCGCCATAAGAAGTCCGATAACCACCACCAAAAGACTGACCCTCGAGCTCCCAATCCCAAGGATGTCATTTCCTCTAAAGCCGTTGACAAGTCTTCCTAACCCAACGCTTCATCCAAAGCCAAGACCCCAGATAGAACTCCTCTCGGTCGTTCTTCTTCCAAGACTCACTCCGCTGGCTCGACCAAGGCACTGGTCGAGTCCAGCGGTCCAGATGTCGCAGGGAGCGAGGTTTCCCTGGGGAAGCGTTCTCGTACTGACCAAGGTGAGGTGGTCATGAAGAAAGGGCATACCGGCCATCAATGGCCTAATCCGTTGGCCCCCAAGTCGACATCCCTTTTGTCAGCCTCCGTGAATGAGGTGGCCGAGCGCCTCGAGGGTTCCCTCCTCGAGGAAGACCGCAATACGGCCAGCGTCACCTTGCCCGAAGTTGGCGATAAGCTCGTGCAGTGGCTTGCCCAGGTATTACTTATCTTATATTTACATCGATTCCTTCCTGCCTTTGTTTTTCGATATATGGATTGAATTGCCTTATTTTGCTCGATGGCTTGGTCGAATTCTTGCCTCTGGCCAAAGAAGCTCGAGATAGCTCTGACAAGTCCATAAAGAGCTTCGAGAGCAACATTTGCTTCCTGCAGGACAGGAACTCAACTCTCCTGTTGTAACGCCCCGTTTGATTATGAATTATTGGAGAATATTATTTATTATTATTATTATTGTTATCATATTAATTGTCTTTTTGCCTAATTGTTTAAATGAATTGATTTTGGAGTATTTATTATTATTCTATTATTTTGCTCGTTCAAGCCATCATATTATATTGTCCTAAAAGATGATAT